CACTATTACTACTACTACTACTACTACTACTACTACTACTACTACTACTACTACTACTACTACTACTACTACTACTACTACTGCTATAACTACTATTACTACTACTACTACTACGAACTACTACTACTACTACTACGACTACTACCACTCCAGACCTGCTACTAACACCTACTAGCCTACTACTTCTCTTCTACTGCTACTACTACTACTACAACAACGCAAATGCTACACTGCTACCTATAACTGCGACTGCCTACGACTACTACGGTTATAAGTCTGGCTACGGCGTCTGCTGCGACTGTTACTACTAACTACTTACCTACCACCTACTACACTAACTACTAATACTACTACTACTACTACTAACTACCACCACTACTACTATGTTACGACTACTACGACTAATTCTGCGACTACTACTACTACTACTACGACTACTGGCTACTACGACTGCTACTACTACTACTACTACGACTACTACTAACCACTACTACTACTACTACTACGACTACTACTACTACTACTACTACTAACTACTACTACTAACTACTACTAACCTTACTAAAAGTGTTTTTTTTGCCTACTACTACTACTAAAACTGTGACTGACTACGACTACGCTCCGACCTACTACTATCTACGACAACACTCTACTACTTCTCCTACTTACTGCTCCTACTACACTACCTACTACTACTACTACTACTACTACTACTACTACTACTACTACTACTAATACTAGAAACAACTACTACGACTACTACTACGACTACAGCTGCGACTACTACTACTACTACTACTACCACCACTACTACTCCTACTACTACTACTACTACTACTACTACTACTACCACTACTACTACTACTACTACTACTACTACTACTACTACTACTACTACTACTACTACTACTGCTACTACTACTACTGACGACACATACTACTATACTAACTAACAAAAATAAAGGAATACTCAAAACTACTAAAAATAAAAAAGATAAAAGTAACTACTAACTGCTACTACGATACTAAACTACTACTACTACTACTACTAACTACTACTATGACTACTAGCGGCTACTACTACTACTACTATTACTGCTGCTACTACTACTACTGATACACACTACTACTACTACTACTACTACTACTACTACTACTACGACTATCACTACTATAATACGACTACTACTACTACTACTACCTACTACTACGACTACTACTACTACTACTACTACTTAAACTACTACTAATATACTACTAACTACTACTGCACACATTAATAATACTTGCTACTAAAAAACTTCTACTACTACTACTACTACTACTGCTACTACTTCTGCGACTGCTACTGCTACTGCTAGCACTACTACTACTACTACTACTACTACTACTACTACTACTACTACTACTACGACTACTACTACTACTACTACTACTACTACTACTACTACTACTGCTACTACTACTACTATTAATACTACAACTGCTACTTGAACTCCTAAGATCTGGAGAGCACGGGTCAGGCCAGCTTCAGGATGCGCAGAGTACGGGCAAGGAGTTCCTGGACATCATTCTAATTAGCATCATCAGCATCATCATCACTATCACTATCACTATCCCTATCACTATCACTATCACTATCACTATCATCATCATCATCATCATCATCATCATCATCATCATCATCATCATCATCATCATCATCATCATCATCATCATCATCATCATCATCATCATCATCATCATCATTATCATGGTCATTATCATCATCAGCATCTTCAACGTCCTTTCTGCTGCGATCTCCGGGAAAACGTTGATTATCCCCCCTGAACCCCGAACATGATTATCCCATGGGGATTGATATCAGGGGCAAATGGTTAGGAGGGGGGTCGATGCTCCAGGCGTCTCCCAAACCAAGGTCAACAAAAAGATCTCGGAGATCAGATGACCCCGAAAGCGCCGACCCCATGCTGGCGCTCGGACCATATCGGGTCTGCTGAACTGGGTCAATGCAAGCCCGGCTCGGTCAGTCTTTGCAGGATCCTGCAAAATCCTCCAAGACCCTGCGCGCGAACCTGGGCCAACGCAACCCTGCCTTCGCAGGATACTGCAAGATCCGGCGCTCTGGCTGACCTCCGTTTGCGTTGACCCCCATCTCAAAGCTCCCGACCATAGCCCAGGCTCATACGGCGGCTCGGGACGACTCCTGCAGGAACGCTTTCGACGCGGCTCAACTGATGGAAACCAAACTTGGATCCCGAGAGCCTCCCGCAAATATAATCGAAAAACCTTGCGACATCAGTTGGCGCTGAAACCCGTCACGCGCCCCCCCGATCTTGGAACAGATTGGCTGACACGCGTGGGCGCTGACCCCTTCACATTCGCCCCGGCCAGGAGCGCGGGTTGCACGACCTTGACATGGAGAGAAACGAGCAATTAAAACAGGGCTAGGATCGGGATAAATCGCTCCAGAGCGTTCCGGAGCGCTCTCACAGCGTTCCGGAACGCTCTGGAGCGGCCGCGGCACCCAATACATCCTCCAAACCCGCCGATTCTCAGAGGTTTCGAGTTATCCCGATCCGATTTTGTCCCAATCTTCGCGTCGTTTTAGCAATTAGCGCTGAGAAGCAGAACGACAATAACCTAACTGTCAACAGTACGGGGGATCATGGGGGACCGGCGGTCCGCCGAACTCCCCGCCTTGTGGTGGGACTCTCAAGCCGGCCCAGAACTGCGGGGCCCTACGGTGGGTACTTGCACGAGGAGGGGAGGGCCCCAGCCTCGGCGGAGGTGGGGCGCCCGAGCTTGACCCCAAAGGCACGCATCCTCGAGCCCCCTTTCCGTTCATGGCCTCCTGACCGTTCTGGAACAAAAACCTCTGGTATGTGAGCCGACAGAAGCGCATTGTTTTCAGCGGTCCGCGATATAGTAGGGGCAAGACCACAGGAAGCCTTACACAAGAAACCCAACCCTGAGACCCCCGGGCGTCCATTGGTTACTTTTGGTGTGGGAACGCCACGCTTTCCATCGCAAAGCCATGGAAACCCTGGGCACCATGGAGGCGAGCAGGGTGTTTCTTGGTATGGGTCTCCACTCCAACATCCTCTATTCGGCGGTGGACAAACCTCCCTTTAGCAAACCTCCCCTTAGTGAAAACGGCCTGGGACCGGAACCGACGGACCTGGACCCGCAAAAATGACGGCCGCGACGCCCTCTCGCGAACCGAAAACGGCCCATTCCTGAATCGACGTGTCAGGGTGGGAGGTCTGTCCACCCCCCATAAGTTGGAGGGGGAGGGGGGTCTCCTCCTCCTCCTCCTCCTCCTCCTCCTCTCCTCCTCCCTCCTCCTCCTCCTCCTCCTCCTCCTCCTCCTCCTCCTCCTCCTCTCTCCTCCACCTCCGCCTCCTCCTCTCCTCCACCTCCGATCTACGGGGAACGCCCCCCCCCCCCCCCTCCCCACCTGCCCCTGGCAACCTCGCGCCTCGCGCCAGCGCCGTCTGCCAATTGCGCCTGTCATCGCCCATCGCGCGCAAGACCCACGTGTCCCGTCGATCCGGCAGGTTTCCAACAGGATAGAAACTTTGACCGAAGTGGCTGTGGACTTAGGTCGGGCGTGTCCCCCTGCAGGGGGACTGTGGACGGAACGCTGAGAATAATCGAAAAAGGCTCAACATCGGTCACACATGCTAAAGAAATCGTCCCCTGACTATCGAGTACCATTTCTGAATACTCCTCCTGTAGAGGGATAGGCCCGACTCACCTCGAGACCGCAGCGAGGGGGGGGGAGAACCGCTGCGACGCCCTCTTCGGCGGGCGGCCTCCAGGGGCCTCGCGCGCGGCGGCGAGGCACTGCCCAAGCCGGCGTCCGGCTGCCCGCCTCGAGGGGGAAGGGGCCGCGGTCGTCGTCGTCGTCGTCGTCGCCGCTGTCCGTCGTCGCAGCGGTCGTCGTCGACACTGACGTCGTCGTCGTGGTGGTGGTGGCGGTCGTGGCCGTCGTCGCGGTCGTGGTGATCAACGTCGCCGCTGCCGCCGCCATCGTCGTCGCCGAGGTCGTCGTCGATTTCCAACCCTGAGTGGGCGTTGCAGCTCCCAGAGCCTGGGAAGGGACCCTAGAGCGAGGAAAGAGCAATCACAACAAGGACAAGATCCCTCAGGGACAGGCCCGACTTACGCCTAGACTGAAGGGGAACTGGGACACACAAATAAGTACACACAAAAAAAGGACTCCCCATATTTTCATACATTTTCTGGGTTTTTGTCTTCCCCCCCACTTCCCATATTTTACCATATTTTCCTAGGGATCGACGATTCATTGTGTCTGCGGTTTGTTTCCCCTCCTGACAGACAGCGGCTCGAGTTCTGTCCGCCCGCGGGGCGCCTCGGCCTCCTGGCGCCCCCCCCCCGGAGAGCCCAAGACGCCGAGGGTGCGGACACCGCGGGCCCGTGTCGCGCCGACCCCGGCGCCTTCGTCAAACACCCAACACCGCGGGGATCGTCCAACCTCGAACGCGATCGGCCGCTTCTGCGACGTCAGATCGTGCCACAACGACCGACTCCGGGCCGCCGGCGGCGTTCCGCGTGGAGCGCTGGCGGCGGGGTCGCCGCTGGTCGGCACGACGCGAACCCACCGTACAAACCTCGCCCGCAGAGGGGGGACGGGGGGGGAAAGGGGGGGGGTCAGAGGGGGAGGAGGAGAAAGAGGAGGAGGAGGAGGAGGAGGAGGAGGAGGAAGAGGAGGAGGAGGAGGAGGAGAAGGAGGAGGAGGACGGGGAGGGGAGGGGAGGGAGGAAGGGGAGTGGAGGGGAGGCGAGGGGAGGTGGGAGGAGGGGAAGGGAGGGGAGGGGAGGGGATGGAGGGGAAGGGCAGGGGAAGGGGAGGGGAGGTGAGGGAGGGAGGCGAGGGAAGGGGAGGGAGGTAGGCGAGGGGCGGGGAGGGGAAGGAGGGGAAGGGAGGGGAGGGGAGGGGAGGGGGGGAGGGAAGGAAGGAGGGAGGGATGCCGCCTGCCGCAGCCGGGCCCACACACGCCGGAGCGCTGGGCGCGTCCGCCGGCCCGGCGGCGCCGCCGGCCGCGGCGGGGGCCTCCTAGGCGCGCCCAAGGGGCTCGGACTGGATCTGGCGATCTTCATCGCAACTTCGATGCATACTGAATGTTCTGGGCCGCCCCTCGGCTCACAGCCATCATCCAGCTGGGCAGACGCATTCCTGTCTTCGCAGCTTCCGCTTGTGCCAAGGACGACACAGCAGACGATCTTATAATCAAGCGTGGCCGAGATGGTTTGTTCCCGGAAAGGGCTCGGGCCCAGGGTTCTGTTTTAGATGTTTACCCCCGGCCTCGACTTGCGTAGGACTGGCGGAACTAGTTTGCGATAGATAACGAAGTCGTGTAGGGCCGGCGGAATTGAAGTTTGAGGATCTCCCTAGCAAAACGCTTGTTGTTGAAATTCCGATAGGTAAAACATAAGGTAAAGTAAACATTTGTGTGTTGCGGATGTCTCGAGCGAAACGCTTGTCTGTCAGAATTGGTTGAGGATATCTTCAGCGAAACGTCTGTTTTGTGCTATAGATCGTTCTTCTCCTGGGGGCCAGAATTCAGAGGATGTCTCAGGTGAAATGCTTCCTTTCACGTGCCCGGGTCTTGAGGATGTCTCGAGCGAGACGCTTGGTTTCACGCCTCCAGTTTGCCCAGGCAGATGTCTAGCATGAGGATTTGTTGAGGATGTCTCGAGAGAGAGACGGTTGTGTTCACGCATCCAGGTCGTCTAGGCAGATGTCTAGCATGAGGATTGATTGAGGATGTCTCGAGGGACCCGCTTGATTTCACGTGTCAAGGTCGACCTGGCGGATGTATGGCATGAGGATGTGTTGAGAATATGTTGAGCGAAACACTTGTTTTCACGTGTCGAGGTCGCCCAGGCGGGTGTCTAAGTTGAGGATTTGTTGAGGATGCCTCGAGAGAGAGAGAGAGAGACGCTTATGTTCACGTGTCCAAGTCGCAAAGGCGGATGTGTAGCATGAGGAGGTGTTGAGAACGTCTCGAGCGAAACGCTTGTTTTCACGTGCTTAGGTCACCCAGGCGGACGTCTAACATGAAGATGTGTTGAGGATGTCTCAAGCGAACCACTTGTTTTCACGTGTCCAGTTGGCCCAGGCGGATGTCTAGCATGAGGATGTATTGAGGATGTGTTGAGTGAAACGCTTGTTTTCACGTGTCCAGGTCGCCCAAGCGGATGTCTAGCATGAGGATGTGGCCAGGATGGCTCGAGCGAAATGCTCTTGGCACGTCCCGCGATGCGCCCCCATAGCACGTCCCCTGGCACGTCGGCTGGCGCGTCCCTTGGGACGTTCCGCGGCGCCTCCTCCTGGCATGCCCCCATGTCAATTATCCTTGGGGCAGCTACTATGTGCTCAGGCAGCTCGAGCTTATGATCCAGATCAGTTCGGTCTGGACTCGGATGCAAAGGAGGACTCGATCCACAACGCTATAGAGCACGGTCGCGGCATGGCACCTCGCAATTCAGCACGGCGCAGCACAGCACAGCCCTCGGAACGGTACATCAAGATCGATACACTCAGCATTGCAACCTGGCACGTCACCTGGCACGTTCCGTGCCGCGTCCCGTGGAGAGTTCCGCTGGCACGTCACGCGGCGCGTCCCCCGGCACGTCCCGTGGCACGTCAATTGGCGCGTTCTGTAGCAGGTGCCCTTGGCAAGTCCCGCGGTGCGTCCCCATAGCACGTCCCCTGGCACGTCGCCTGGCGCGTCCCTTGGGACGTTCCGCGGCGCGTCCTCCTGGCATGTCCCCCTGTCAATTAACTCTGGGGCAGCTACGATGTGCTCAGGCAGCTCGAGCTGAAGATCCAGATCAGTTCGGTCAGGACTCGGATGCAAAAGAGGAATCGATCCACAACGCTGTAAAGCACAATCGCGGCATGGCACATCGCAATTCAGCACGGCACAGCACAGCACAGCCCTCGGCACGGCACATCAAGATCGACACACTCAGCATTGCAACCTGGCCTCTACCCTGGCACGTTCCGTGGCGAGTCCCCTGGCGAATCCGCCCTTGCACGTCGCGCGGAATGTCTCCCGGCACGTCCCGTGGCACGTCCATTGCCACGTTCCGTAGCGGGTCCCCTTGGCAAGTCCCGCGGTGCGTCCCCATAGCACGTCCCCTGGCACGAATGTCTCCCGGCACGTCCCGTGGCACGTCCATTGCCACGTTCCGTAGCGGGTCCCCTTGGCAAGTCCCGCGGTGCGTCCCCATAGCACGTCCCCTGGCACGTCGGCTGGCGGCGGGTCCCTTGGGACGTTCCGCGGCGCCTCTCCTGGCATGCCCCCATGTCAATTAGCCTTGGGGCAGCTACTATGTGCTCAGGCAGCTCGAGCTTATGATCCAGATCAGTTCGGTCTGGACTCGGATGCAAAGGAGGACTCGATCCACAACGCTATAGGCACGGTCGCCTGCATGGCACTCGCAATTCAGCACGGCACAGCACAGCACAGCCCTCGGCACGGCACATCAAGATCGACGCACCAGCATGCATTTGCCCTTCGCCCAATCAGGTGGTCTTTGAAACGTTACCACGCCTCACGCTCCTAGAGTCCCTGTTTGGGAGGAGAAATAGCGGGGAAAGAATAGATTCCTTTTTTCGTGGGTCGATCACATTGGGGGGAAAGATAGTCGCGCCCCATGGGGGGGGGGGGGGGGGGCGCCGCAGCGGCCAGCGGCGGGGTGCCCCCCGCCTCTCCATGGATCCGAGGCTGTGAGCTTTCCATCCCGCGGCCCTCGATCCCGCGGCCCTCCGCCCGAGGCCGGACCTCGGCCTCCGGGGCCCGCGATCGGGCCCGGGGGCCCTCGCAAGCGGGTCTGGCACGGGGCACCGATCCGAGGCCGTGATGTTTCACCCCCGCAACTTTTCTCTCCGGACTTCCGCCTCTGGGGCCCGTGATCGGGCCCGGGGACCCTCGGAAGCGGAGTGGAAGAAACCGTACCGGCCCGGCAGGCGTCGGGCTCTCACGGGCATGCGTGAGCTCCTCCGGCGTCACGGTACGGGCCCAGAGCTGGGCGGCGTGGCAGCACGATCCGTGGAGCGTGGGGCACGGGCCTCACTCACACGGGCGCCATCAATAGGAGGCCCACCTCTCCACACTCGGATGCGGACTGACCGTCGCGGGCCGCAGGAGCTCCTCCGCGGGGGCCCCGTGGGGGAGCTCGTACAGCCGCATTGCCACAGGGGAGCGATGCACGCCAAGATGGGGGGCCTCGGGTCACATCCTGGCCACTGGCACAAAAGGTACTCCAGATTTCGTAATAAAGGGAGGGGGGTCTCATTTCGGGGGGGGTCTCTTCCAGGCTATCTTGGAGGGCCTGGGGGGTCTGGGGACGATGTTTTGGAGGGTTCTCCCACGGGAGGTCTGAAATGGCTTGTCTTGGAGGGTCCAGACCCCCTCCCTTTTATTACGAAATCTGGAGTACACAAGACCGTCCCACAGACGTTCTGCATGAGGCCATTTGCATTTCGCGCGACGCCTCTTGCAGTTCACCGACGACCGCCTCATCCTTAAACCTGGGCTTGGGAATTTAAGCCTGTGGCGCGCCTGGTAGTCCGAAGGACCTCCCGGGGTCAGGATATGGGCCCTCACTTGTCAGACTGCATACAAATATTTCTTCAGCCCTATAAACCTACCCAGACTGCTCAAACCCTCCACCGGAATTCGAATCTACGGGTGCTGGTGCAATGCTCTAGTCTTCCAGGCAGGTCAGATGGGGTCATTCCTCATTGTCCTCCTCCAGCTCCTGCTCCCCAGCAGACCGCTGTTGGCGTGCTCTGAGCCTCTCGACAGCTTCCTGGGGACGGGCTTCTCATCCCGAGGCTCTGTAACGGCCCAAAGAGGGCGAAGATTGCCGAAACCTCCCACCAAGGCGCCATCTGGCCGAAACCCCTTTGCACGCGGACCAGGAACCTCAGATCCGCTGGAGGTCTAGACTCCGGAACCTCCCGAAAGCTTCCCAAAGGGGAGGTCTCGAGAGGTACCCAGAGGCTGGCGGCGTGCGCAAGAGGCCTTCTAAGAGGAACCCAGAGGAGGAGGCGGAGGAGGAGGAGGAGGAGGAGGAGGAGGAGGAGGTGGAGGAGGAGGAGGAGGAGGAGGAGGAGGAGGGAGGAGGAGGAGGAGGAGGAGGAGGAGGAGGAGGGAGGGAGGATGGGAGGAGGGGAGGAGGAGAGGAGAGAGGAGGGGGGAGGAGGAGAGGAGGAGGAGGAGGAGGAGGAGGAGGAGGAGGAGGAGGAGGGAGGAGGAGGAGGAGGAGGAGGAGGAGGGAGGAGGAGGAGGGAGGAGGAGGAGGAGGAGGAGGAGGGAGGAGGGGGAGGAGGAGGGGGAGCAGGAGGGCTTGCCACAAGCCCGAGAGGGCATTCTGCAGCCCCATGCCTCACAACAAGCCTCCGGGTTCGCGGACGGCCTCCCCTCCCTCTGCGACCGCTCCCAGATGAGGGCCAACACGGACGTCCATGCCCAGGCCCTTCAGTGGCGACGCACGGCAACCTCCCGTACCATCTTGTTGGCTCGTGCGCATCGACGTGGTATCGACGCTGATCGACGCTGTGTCGCCCTTAATCTCGGGCCGGGCGAAAGGGGGGATTGCAAAGGGGGGTTTGAGAATCAGCTCACGTAGCTGATTTTTCCGGCGCCTCCTGGCGCGGGGAGGCGCCCATGCATTCAGGAATGGGCCTGGCGGCGGGGCCGAAACCAGCTGCATGCAGCAGATTTCGTACCCCCCCTTTCCCTATCCCCCCCTGTCGTTCGGCCCGATAATCGACGCAAATCGAAGTAAATCGACGACACATCGCCGCTGTCTCATCGACCACCAGAGGCTGATCGGCGCCGGAGCACGCCAAAGACGTAATTGCGAGGGCACACAGGGCTCCCCCGAGAGCCCCATGCTGCAACTGTGCACGCGACCCTCCGCCACTCCTGGCAACCCGCGCCAGACCGTCACCCTGCGCAGCACATCACAGAGCCCGTCCTTCGAAGCGGTGGACAGCGTCTCGGAGTTCTCCTTCGGGAAATCCAAGTTGCCTCGCAGGGGGGGAGCAGACAGACAAGGGGCAGGAGGAGATGGAGGAGATGGAGGAGGAGGAGGAGAGGGAGGAGGAGGAGGAGGGGGGCAAGGAGGAGGAGGGGGGCAAGGAGGAGGAGGAGGTAGAGGAGGAGGAAGAGGAGGAGGAGTAAAGGGAGGAGGCTCAGGTTGATTGTCAGGAGGGTGGCCCCCAAGGGACGAGGCAGTGCAAGCTCGCGGGAAGCAGACAAACGATAGGCAGGATAAGGATAGACCTCGATGGGAATAGAAATCGGGAACATCTGATTACCAGTCTCGAACTTATCCCTATACCCAAGATTGGCAAGACAAAAGCGATGACAGTCTTAGGGATGTACCCACAGAAACCAAGGGAATCCTGAAGATCGGCACCGAGGTAAGGTGATGCCAAGCCTAGGGATAGGGATACGTTTCAAACTGGTAATATGAGTAACGGCAGAACTAGGGATGTATCGGACGCCGCGGCGGTTTCAGAGCGATCCGGCATGCTCCGAGAGCGTTCTGTAACGCACTGGAAGCATTTCCGAAGCAACCCACTACGTGGCCCGAAGTGGCGCTCAGCTGGGAACTTCAGCGAAGACGTCGCCCCCCCTCCCAAACGTGCAGGACCAGTCAGCATCGAATCTGGAAGTCATACCGAGTCAAAATGTGCGTCGGATCGTGCTGCATCAGAACAACATCAATATCAAATCGGCGGCTGCGCCAGGATGTACAACGGCGCCGTGCGAGCATCGGGCCGCATCGGATCGCCAGAACATCGCAATCACCGTAATCGAATCGGATCGGGCCGGCCAGAAACGACATCGCATCGGATCGGTCGAGTCAAAATCGACCCTCGTGTTAGGTCGGGCCTGTCCCCCTACAGGGGGATCTTGGGCGAAAAATTGAAAATACGAACAAAAGACTCCAAATTAAAACTGATGAAAAATCGTCCCCAGACTATGTTGTACTACTTTTGAACATCCCCCCTGTAGAGGGACCAGCCCGACTTAACACTGGCGGGGCAACGCTGCTGTGAGGCCGTCTTGGAGCGACAGAGTCCGACCATAGGGGCCCCCTGGGAGACAGCGCGGGCCGCTCCTCCTCGTCCTCCTCCTCCTCCCCCTCCTCCTCCTCCCTCCTCCCTCCTCCCTCCTCCTCCTCCTCCTCCTTCTCCTCCTTCTCCTCCTCCTCCTTCTCCTCCTCCTTCTCCTCCCTCCTCCTCCCCTCCTCATCCTCCTCCTCTCCTCTTCCTCCTCCTCCTCCTCCTCCTCCTCGCTCCTCGCTCCTTGCTCCTCGCTCCTCGCTCCTCGCTCCTCGCTCCTCGCTCCTCGCTCCCCCTCCTCCTCCTCCTCCTCCGTCACGCTCCTCCTCCTCCGTCACGCTCCTCCTCCTCCCGCGATCCTCGAGGGCGAGGCCCTCTCCCGCACAAGCCTCGCACGGGACACAGCGAGCCCTCCCCCCTCCCGCACAAGCCTCGCACACCAACGCATTGCCCACGGCACGCGTGTACGCAGATGGCTGTACATCCAGCACCGCTTTGGCAGCCCTCGCTGTGTTGTGAGCCTCGTGTCTTGCGGAGCAATGAGCAGCCGAGGTACCACAGGCGCATCGGGCCAGACAAGCCTGCGGCCGTGCTCGAGAGGAACGCGGTGCATCGGCCAGGCATCGAGCTGGAGGCTCCCGTGGTCGCCAGTCCAATAGGGGGCCCCAAGCACGAGGTGCCTCAAGCAATCCGAATCTCCAACGTTGGACCCCTTCTGGACACCCCCGCCCCCGACGGCGGAACCCGCGGTCCTGCCCGGCAGAGGGGTGTCTCCTTGGCTGTCGGCTGGCGCTCGACCGCGGGCAGCTCGCGGCACCACTCGGCAAATCTGCAGCACTCCCGTCGTGGTCGCGGGTGGGGGCACGATTTTGCTCTCTGGATTCTGCCCTCCGAGCCCCACCCAGAAGCCTTGAGCCGCCGACGTGGAGGTCGCAGCCCTCCACCCGGGCGCGTCCCCGCCTCCGTGAGCACCCCACAAGCACCCCCCCCCCGACGGCGGCACTCGCGGCCACACCCGGCAGACAGGTGGGGGGTGAGAGTTCCGTAGCTTTCGGCTGGCGCGTCGCGAGCTACAGGACACAAGGGTACCCTTGGGCTGGCAGGGTCGACCTACTAATCCGGGCCGACTGTACTGCCAGAAGTAACGCTGAAGCGACGGGCGGAGACGTGTTTTGGCCCCGAGAACGACCGTGGAGGTATCTGAGGAACCGCGAGCTCCTTCCGAGCCCATGCTTTCCTTTATTTCAGCGTCTTGACTGGAGGGAGGCCGAGCCGACTGTTCAGTCGGGCATGTCCTCCTGCAGGCGGATTTTGGAAGAAAAATTCTAAAATAGCCCCCCAAAAATTCAAAAATAGCCCCCCTAATGAAAGAAGTAGTTCCAAAACTAGGTTTCGACTATTCTTGAATATTCCTCCTGTAGAGAAACGTACCCGACTTAGCCCTACTGGAGTCGGCGGTGGACAAACCTCCATTTAGCAAACCTCCCTTTAGGGAAAACGGCCTAGGACCTGAACCGACGGAACTGGACCCGCAAAAATGACGGCCGCGACGCCCTCTCGTGAACTGAAAATGGCCAATTCGCTCATCGACGCGTCAGGGTAGGAGGTCCATCAACCTCCGATCCTGGAGGTCGAGCACTGCCGAGCACCTGCCGCGTTCTGCTCCGGAGCACGGCGTGCGCGGTGGTGCCGACGGGGCGCCCGCGGGAGAGAGAGGCGGGCGCGCCTATGTGCTCCTTGGGGAGGTCCAGGGCGCCTGGGGGCAGCACGGCGGCGCGTCTGTCGGGGGGAACGGAGGGGGATAGCAAAGGGCAGGGTAGAGAATCAGCTCATGTAGCTGATGTTCCCAGCGCCTCCCGGCGCCGGGAGGCGCCCATGTATCGAGGAATGGGCCCAGCGGCCGGGCCGAAACCAGCTGCACGCAGCAGATTTCGTACCCCCCCCCTTCCCCTTATCCCCCCTGCGTCCAGCCCGAGTCTGCATGGTGCACCGATGCAGCGCGATCGAAGACGAGGTCCTAGGATCATGGCTGCACCTGAGCGTTATTTTTCGCTTTGGTTTCGTTTTGTGCTCCGTTCTGCTCTACCTGTGTTCCTGTGCCTCCCTGCCAAAACGAAACAAACAAAACACAACCGAAATCCAGCAACATACCAGGCAAGGGGCTTCTCTGGCCACAGCGAGACTCGGTTGCGAATGCGCCCCCCCGACCCAGACCTCCGACACGGCCCGAAGACCGCAATCCCTCCTGAGCCCCGAATACGATTCACATAATACTCTTGGCTGCACCGACAGCGACAGCAACAGTAACAACAACAGCACGACAAACAACAACAACCACGACAACGACAACGACAAGAACAACAACCACAACAACCACAACAACAACAACAACAACAACACCAACATCACCAACACCACCAACAACAACAACAGCAACAACAACAACAACAACGACAACGACAACGACAACGACAACGACAACGACAACGACGACAACAACAACGACGACAACGATAACGACAACGACAACAACAACAACAAAAAGGACAACGACAACGACAACGACAACAACTACAACGACAGCAGCAACGACAACAACAACCACCACGGCAACAAAAGCAACCGACACGACAACAACAACGACAACAACAACCCTGACAACGACAACAACTACAACAGCAACAACAACACCACCATCGGCAACACCACCATAAACAACAACGACGACGACGACGACGACAACAACAACAGCAACAACAATAACAACAACAACGACAACAAAAGAAACCATAACAAGTACAACAACAACAATGCCAACAACCACAACAACAACAACCGCAACACCACCGACAGCAGCACCACCACCACTATTAACCACAACAACAATCATTATAAGACTGTTCGCTCTTGCCTGCCCGCGTGTCATTGAAAACGAGTTCCCCACTCCCTCGACACCCGCCCTTTTTGTCTTCGGTCACACCTCGTTTGGGGGGATTATCTTTCTTTGCGGGGGGCGGCGGGCTTAGACAGGCGGGCAAACCCGAACGGGCGGACATCCTTTCGTGGGCGTACATGTGCCCGCCATTGGAATTGGCGTGGGCCCTGCAAAAAGAGGATGGAGAGAACGAGGGAGAGTGGGAGGAAGAGAGGGGGGGGGGACGAAGGAAGAGGGACAACGCCAGGAGAGAAGGAGCGAAGAGGGGGGCGGTTGATTAGAGGCAGAGAGAGAGAGAGAGAAAACGAACAAACAAACAAACAAACAAAAAAAAAACGATCAGAGAGGTAGAAAAAGAGAGAGAGAGAGAGAGAGGGAGACAGAGGGGAAAGAGAGAGAGAGAGAGAGAAAGAAAGGGGGAGGGAGGAGGCAGGAGAGGGGAGGGAGAAGGGATATGAGGGAGAGGGGGTAGGGCAGAGCGGCATAAGGATGGGGGAAGAGAGGAGGGAGAGAGGAGGGAGGAGGGAGGAGCAGGAAGGTAAGAGCGTGAACGTTCGAGGAAGTCCTAGGCGAAAGCGCCATTCCCGAAGGAAGTCTCGGGCGGGAGCCCACGACGGGCGGGCGCTCCCCTGACGGGCGGGTCGGGCGGGTGGGACATTCAAGCGGGATGCCCGAGTATGGCGAGAGCGCGATTACTAAATAAATCGTAACGGCGTTCAGGAGCGCCGTTCCTGAGTAAATTGAGGAGGTCTCAGATGGGAGCGGGGGTCCTGACCCTGAGTAGATTGTGAGGACATCTCAGGAGCAGAGGTCCTGAGCAAATTTGGGAAAAGTCTCAGGCGGGAGCCGCTGTTGTTGTAATCCGGGGGGCCAGGGGCCCAGTTTGAGCACCAAGACTTTCCCTGTCAAAAACAGGGTGCGAGCGTCGAGCACACTCTGATTGAGAAAAAGCAGTAATAATGAGAGTTCAACATAAGCAGCTGGTGCATGGCTCTTCGAACGAACCAGGAAACACACGCGCGGGCGAGCGCCCGGGGGGGATACCAGGGCGACGCCAAAAGGGGCCACCACTGCGGGGGGGGGGGGTCGCCCCTCGAGGAAACGGACACCCCTGGGACATCCAGAACCGCCCCCCAGGACGCGGAGGGAGGAGGGCGGAGGAAGGAGGGAGGAGGGAGGAGGGAGGAGGGAGGAGGAGGGAGGAGGATGGGGAGGAGGGAGGAGGAGGAGGAAGAGGACGAGGTGAGCATCGAGCTGGAGGGCTACGAGGCGACCCTGGAACAAAAACAGCCCACCGACCCTCGATCCTCCTTCACACTCAGTCCTCGAATTCCAGGGGGACCTGGTGACCCCACCCCCTTGGGCATCGTATGGCCGACCCACATCCCCACTAGCGTGGCTTGGGCCACTCTGGCCGATCTTCCACCCCACATGGGGATACGACTGGGATGCAACAGCCACCCTCCTACTATAATACCACGCCCTCTTAAATTTCGGGGTCCTGCCCGTGTCTAGAGGTCGACCTTTCGGAGTTCCGCAGATCTCTCCGAACCCTCGCACACGTGCTGTTTAAACTGCGGCCGCGGCCGTATCATGCAAAACGTGTAAATTCCGATGCAATCGAATATGCTGTGTGCTGATACGTATGAAGTGTGGGAATGGGCTTCCCATCCTTCGTTACGGTTCTTTGATTGTGTGGGCGCGTCTGTGTTGATTAAATTTGCTGGGGCGGGGCCTGCCGGACCCGAATCGGGTCCACCCCCACGCATTCCTAACTAACGCCGCCTCTCCTTGAGCTGGATACAGCCAACGGGCACGGCAGAGTAGGAGTTGGAGTTGGACTACAACGTGAAGCAAGCGCAAGGATAGGTCAGGCGGGAAAACAAGAGAACAGACGAGGAGAGAATGACAGGAGGGCGCGTGCAGGAGAAAGGGTTTGAAAAGCCTCAGCCCGACAAAGAAATACACTGGAGGACGTGGAAGCTGAGCGGACGGCGATGCGACGCGATGCACCAAATGACAGGCGAGAAGTGCAAGTGCGAGTCCTGGAATCCAGGGCTGGGGCTGCTGGCCTCCTCGTCCTTCTTTTCCTCCTCCACCCCCCGTCTCCTCTTCCGCCATGCGCCCCTGTGGGGGTGGCATTGACGGCTGTGGGGCGTGCGTTGTTTTCTCGCGCGGGCACATTTCCTTGGCGCGGCTCCTCATGGCGTGGGGTCACCCGTGTGCACGGTGCAGCGTGCGCATTCGAGTACATCAGGTCGATCAGGGGTGGTCGTGTGCGCATTCATGTACAAATGCTACTGTGATCTATATGTCGTGACCTAACGTTTCCCGTTGCCCTACACCTCCGCACCTCCTCCTGACACTACGCGTACTGAAGCGTCGTATGCGTAGTCGTACCACATGTTAACGAAACCGCAACGCCGCGGCCCCGTGGCTGAACTGCGCGCGTATAGCCTTCGCACATAGGCAAATTGTCCAACGTGCCAGTGCGAATGACCGCCATGGTAATGGTAATGCCCACTAGAGGCTGGTCGCCAAAGGCCGCGTCAGCTTGGCCCTTTGCGCGGGAGAGCTCAGGGGGCAGAACAAGGATTCCTGATCAACCTGAGTTTCTGCGTGGATCTGGATGCAGGCCGCGCCATGTGCAGCGGCTTGGGGGAACACGCAGCGGACACGCGGGAGCGAGGGAACACAAAGGAAGGACGCTGAGCTTGAGCGAGCGGGGCGTCAAGGCTCACCCATACAGCGCACGGACGGAAGGGATGGGGACGGGGGGGCGGGACTTAAGAGAGGAGGGCGACGGCCGGGCGAGTGGGCTGCGTCGGGATCCCGACCTTCGTGGCCGACCATGTCCAAAGAGAACGGCGGCGGGCTCGCAGGGCTCTCACTGCTGCGGCCCGCAGGTCCAGAACGAGGCACGACCATAGGATTCTCAAAGTTCCTTGGCCCACTCCAGGTCCAGATGGCGGCTGGCATGGGTGTAGAGGCTCCTCACCACTGCTGGTGCCCAGGTCCCAAACTAGGGCAATGACCATCAATGATTCAACTGCCCCAACGTTAGCTGGCAAGTTGTTTCATGAGTCGTTCCAACGGCGGCATGCCCTATGCGTGCCTACACTGTGTGTGACGTCAACATTTCCTCCCCCCAAGCAACTCCTTGGCACCAGCGCTTTCTCCGACTCGTTGTGTCATGGCGGCCATGCTGTGCAACCTCGCTGCATGGCAACAGCGGTGTCCTCGACTGCCTGGCGCGCACCTCCTGACGACGCAACATGTTTGCCAGCATGTCCGACACGCTGTCCTGCAACCCTTGGCGGCGCGCACAAGCGGGGTGGAGGGAGGGGGGAGGGCTTCTTAGAAGGAGGCTGCTTCTTAGAAGGCGCCAGCCTTACATCTATAGAGAAGGGCCGCGCGTTCTGAGAAGCAGGGATGCCTCTAAGAAGCCCTCCCCCCTCCCTCCACCTCCCTCTGCGCGAGGCTGAACCCCAGCGGCACGACACCACGACTCCCAAACCGTCATCTTGCTCCCGTAGGAGGGGGCCACGGCAAAGGGATCTTTTTTTCTCACGTCTCGGGGGCCGTTCCCCTCGGCGTTCGAGGGGCCCGCCCAAAACTGGGGTGCTGGGTCGGTGGGGCTGAGACATGGCCCGGTGGGGACGGCAGGAGAGCCCAGAGTCGAATCGATAAGCCAGACCGATCGACATGAATCGGACAGGCGGAAAATCGGCAGGCAGGTCGGCAAAAAGTCGGATCGGCGGACATTGGCAAGCTGGCATGCCTCCAAGGAGAAGTCGCAACCCAGGTCGGAATCCCAGGCCGAATCCAATCGGACTCCGAGCCGGAATCCCAAAAGTCGAATCGAATCGGCATCGGAGGCCATCGAGGCCGAAGCGAATCGAAGCGGAAGCATCGAAGCGGGCCCTGGGAGGGGGTCCCGCGACAAAAAACGGTACTGACCCCCCCACCCACCCCCGGGCGGTGGCCGAGGAGGAGGAGGAGGAGGAGGACGAGGACGAGGACGAGGACGAGGAGGAGGAGGATGACGAGGAGGACGGGGAGGAGGAGGAAGGGGAGGAGGAGGACGAGGACGAGGACGAGGAGAACGAGACGGGTGAGGGTACGAGGAGGAGGATGGGACGAGGAGAAGGAGTGAGGAGGAGGAGGAGGTGGAGGACGAAGCAGGAGGAGGAGGAGGACGAGGACGAGCGGAGGAGGAGAGGAGGAGGAGGAGGAGGAGGAGGAGGAGGGGAGGGAGGACGAGGACGAGGACGAGGGGGAGGCGGGAGGACGAGGACGAGGGGAGGAGAAGGAGGAGGACGACGCGACGAGGACGAGGCGGGAGGAGACGAGGAGGACGAGGAGGAGGACGAGGGCGGAGGGACGAGGAGTGAGGAGGAGGACGAAGGAGGAGGGGACGAGGACGAGGACGAGGACGAGGGCCGAAGAGAGGAGGAGGAGGAGGACGAGAGGGCGAGACGAGGACGAGGACGGACGAGGACGAGAGGAACGAGGACGAGGACGAGGGGACGGAGGACGGGAACGAGGCGAGGACGAGACGAGCAGGAGGAATGGACGAGGACGAGTACGAGGGGGTGAGGGAGTGAGAGAGGGGAGGCGCCCGCGGCGCTGCCGGAGGGGGGGCCGCGGCGGCCGGGCCAGGAGGGGGCGGGGCCGCAAGGCCGGGGGGCGGGGACGTCAAGCGCGGGGGGGGGGGGGGGGGGGGGCGGGCCTCGCCCGCGCCCCCAGGCGAAGCTCCACCACCGGGAGGCGCCCGTGCGCTTGTCCTGCTCGCCTTGCGGGGGGGGGGGCGGGGCGGCGGGGCCAGGGCGGGCCTGTCCCCCCTGCAGGTGGATCTCGGGTGCAAAATGATTGTTTGTTCCCAGGAAAACACAAAAAACACTCGACGGTTCTCCCCAAGTGCTCACACATAGTCAACACAAATCGTTCCCAGGCTATGTTTTAGACTGTTGTCGGATACCCATCCTGTAGAGGGACAGGCCCGACTCAAAGGCAGGGTGAGAGAGCAGCGCGCGCTCCAACCGACACAGAAGAAGGAACCACGCCAGACACAGACACTTGTTAGGACACCAACACCAGCAGGGCGAGGAGGTGCGAGGACGCAAGGGGAGTCTCCCTGGTGGTGTTGGTATCGCTTCTCCTCCCTCCGAAGTTGTGGCGCTCCGCGCGGGTTTCCTGGACCTGCGCCAGAACCCCCGCGCCCTGGCGCCCTGGCGCGCGCCCTGGGGCGGCGCCTGCCTCGACGGCACGCGAGAGCGATCCCATGGGTAAGAGTGACCTCTGGCGAGCGGCTGCAGTCAACCAGTATGGTAAGGATGCGCGATAAGGATGCAGGGGCCCTGGACGCTCATCTCGAAGCTTGTCGGGCGGGGCGCGGCCAGCGAGAGCGGCGAAGGATGGACCAAGGAGGCAAGGATGCAAAGGGTGCCCTTGGGAAAACTGCCCATCCTTACAATGCGGGTTGACCGTATTTTGGGGCCGCGGGGGGGCCAGACACAGGCGCGCAAGCAGCTACTACCGCACCGCATTCGGCCACCGGGGGGATCGGTGGTTCAAGGATGGGGTCCTGAGGGCTGGGGTCCTCAGAACGAGGTGCCTAAAACAATGCAGATCCACCCATATAATCCCTTCGGATCCTGAGGGCCCCGTCCCTCGCCGAAAGGACCCCAGTGGGCCCGCACCGAAGGCCACTCCGGCGAAGGGTCACGCTTACGTTTATTTATGTTGCTCCCATCGTACTTAAGGGCCACATCCCAGAAAAAAAATCGAACACCCAGAAAAGTGCCGCAACAGTGACGAACGAGTATCGCCTCCCAGGGCCCGACACGTGAAAACACTCAAATTTCAATACTTTCCTGGTGCTCGAAAGTCTTTCTGGCGGTCAAGGCTGAAGCAGGTTGAAACACCACAAGCTTACGTGTGGTCGATAAACTGCAGGGAGGCGAGGCGAGGCGAGGCGACTCCCAGTTCGCCCAGGTGCTCGGCCGCGCGAAGGGTCGGGAGGAGGCGACGGGGCGTCTTCGTTCCCGTGCAGACGTAACCGGACCCCAGTTCTTCCGAGTCTCTTCCAGTGTCCGACAGGGAGGAGGAAGTGGGGAAGGGCAGGCCGAGGAAGGCGCGGGGGGCATGGGTGCGAGCGGTCGGACCCCGAGGGGGCCTTCGTTCGAGAGGGGGGCCCCACCCCGACGACACCCGCACTCACACACACAGACACATCCATGGCTCCCCCCCTGGAAAGCCACCCCGAGAGACCCCTGGAGGTCGCATACACCCTGCGAAATGCTTTAGAAATCATGGGTTAAGAAATCTTCATAGTCTCAGAATTTGAATAAAAGCCCAGAATGTATATTCAAATCTTGGGATTTACACTGAAACATTCAGAATGATCGAGACTCTGGCCGAAAACCTGGGTTTTCTTCAGCATCGCCTAGAGTGTAGGGTGTGGGCGCGGGCCGCCCCTTCGTGGCGGCAGGCCGTGCCACGTCTGCCGGCGGCGCGCCCGAGCACGCGGCAGGCGGCAGCGAGGCGCCCGGAGGCGCCAACGCGCCTGCCCTCCTCGCCTCCGGGAGGGGGTTGGGCCGGCAGGCCGTGCCGCATCTCCCGGGTGGCCCTGAATGGGGCCCCAGGGCAGAGAAAGCAAGACACACAGATAACGATGCCCCATATGTGTTCCCATATTTTAGAGGTCTTCGTCTTCCCCCCCCCACCTCCCACATCTTCCCATCTTTTCTCTGGAATCAGCGATGCATGGTGTCTGTGTGTTTTTGTTCCCTCCCGAGACCCAGCGGCCACGCTCGTGAGCCTGACGCCGCCAGCGCCCCCCAGGAAGACGCGCGGCGTCGGAGCAGGCACCACTCCCCGCGGCCGTGTCACATCCTCTTGGGGCTGAGGGGCAGAACTTCGGGGCGAATTCACCGGTGGCGACGAGAGCATCCCCGGAGGCCCAAAGAGGCCAAAAACGAACGAAGGGCAGCGGTATGGGTACCTTTTCCTCTTGTGGATAAGAGGAAGATGAGGGGCAACGATAGGGGGGGACTGGCATAGGGGGGGATGCATCGACCTGGAATCGGCGATACATCGCCGATAGATCGGCGACAGGCCTCCGATGGTGAACCCGCACCTTCCTGGGCAGGTTGGGGCTATCGGCCCCCATCGGCGATCAATGCGCGATTGAAGGTCGATGCGTTCCCCCCTATGCCTATTCCCCCCGATCGTTTTCCCTGACTGGGGCACTCCTGGCCGTCTGGGGGGTCCCTTGCGACCGTCGTGGGGGCCGTCTGGGGGGGACCGTCTGGGGCCGTCGAGGGGTACTCTGAGGCCGTCGCGGGCCCCTTCGGAGGAGGAGGAGGAGGGGCAGGGAGCAGGAGGGAGGAGGAGGAGGAGGAGGAGGAGGAAGAGGAGGTGGAGGCTGGAGACGCATACGCCTTTCAACACCGGGGGCCCTCCTGTCGCCCTCTCGGGCCGCCCTGCTCCCCTTGGGCCGTCTCTTTTCCTCTTCCTTTCGTGCAGGCGCAGGCTCCGCCACCGCGCAGCCCACCGTCGCTTCAGGCCAGGGGGGGGAGGGGGGTGCCGCGCGGCGAGAGGTGGGGGCTGCTAAGACCAGGGGTCTCTTGGGGAAATCGACAGGTACCGATACCGCTGCCCCCTGGACCTCCCCCCTCGGTGCGTTCTGACCAAGATTCCGAGGCGAATCCAGCGGTGGCGACGAGGGCCTCCCAGGAGGCCCAAAAAGGGGAAAACGGGCGGAGGGTAGCGGTATGGGTACCTTTTCCTCCTCCGATCTCTCAGAACAAGGACCTTCTCAGAAGGGGGCGGGAGGCTTCCCAGTCGGGGTTTCTGAGCAGACCAATGCCTTCTCAGAAAGGCTCTCGCGCCCACTTAGACAAGGCCGCGCTCCAGACGCGCAACCAAGGCGGCGGTCCTCGCCTGGCACCCTTGCACTGCGCGCCGCCAGGTGGTGTTGCATACTGAGATCATCGCCAGAACTGGTGGGGCGATTTTCATTCACCACTACCACAGATAGAGGAGCAGGAGGAGGAGGAGGAGGAGGAGGAGGAGAAGGAGGAGAAAGGGGAGGGAAGGCGCTTGTTCACCGAATCCCTGGTCGTGCAACGCAAGACGCGCAATGAGGGCCGAAGCAGGCCGCGTGTCATCGGCGGAGCTGAACGGGGTGAGCACAGCTGGGCCAACACACGTCCTAAGGGCCGTCGGGTCTTCGGGCGACCTCGCCTGCTCCCGTCGTGCCAACCATCCGTGTCGAATCCTCGCCAGATTCAACGTCGAAAGCGTCGGGTCCGCGGCGGATCCACGCCGACTTCTCGCCGGATCCGCGTCGGGTGCAGAACGAGGCCGCAACCCGTGGGATCGACAAGGCCCCCCGAACATGCAGCGTCAAGCGGGGGAGCGAGAGCTGAGGAGCAAAAGACTTGCTCACGTCGGCGAAGCAATAGCACGGCAGAACCGCTGGCAGTGCCCGCCTCTGGGGGCACGTACCCCAGACATGCGACGCCACATGTTTTTCCATACGCGGTCCCCCGCCCGAAGTCCCGACCGTTTCCCCCGGGTTTCGTTTCGTATCTGTTCTACGCTTTCTCTAGGGGCGCGTCCAAGGAGGGGCGAAGGCGTATGTTCGCCCGTCCTGCTCGCTCTGGGGCCCAGGGGGACGAGGCACGAGGATAAGACGAGAAACAAGTCCAGACATGATACAATGGACTCGGGAACCGCCACCGTGCCCGTGGGCACGGAGTGGGCGTGTCGTAAGGTTATTTGCCTAATCCTCTGATCCTCTGACCCAAGAGGCGCCCAAGACGGCGCAGGAAGGCCACGAGACGCCCCCACGCGGGCTCGGGCTAGAGAGTGCGCCAGGAAAGGTCTTAGGGGGTCCATCTGGGGCCGTCTTGGGCTTCTTGGGGGTCCGTGTGGAGCAATAGTCGGGCGTCTTGGGTCCCTCTTGGGTCGTCTTGTGGCCCCCTTGGGCCGTCACAGGGGTCTTGGGCCGTCTAGGGGCGCCCCAAGACGGCCCAAAAGACCCAGGCACCAAAACGGCGTTCAAGACGGCCCAAGAGGCGCCCAGGACGGCCACAGAGGGCCCCAAGACGGCCCCCAAAGCGGCCCAAAAGAGGGAGCACGGACCGAAAACCCGAGCCTTCCGCCCAAAGAGGCCCCAAGAGGCGCCCACGAGGCACCAAAAGGCCGCCAAGAGGCTCCCAAGAGGCCCCAAGAAACTCCAAAAGTACCCAAAAGACCCCAAGAGGCTTCAAAGCGGCCCCCAGGAGACATCAAAACTGCCTCCAAGGGGCCTCACGCGATATCTCAACTAACAGCCAACAAGCTTCATCCTCACAAGCCAATCACGGCGGCGTGATGGAACGAAGGCCGTTCGATACGTTCCAAAGATTCCGCTGCATCTGTCGGCTCTCTTCCCCGGGACCGCGCGAAATCACAGAAGAGCCTGGAACCCCAGAAAGGGATCATGACGGCTGGCTCCGTTGAAGAGGGGCGAGAGACGAGGAGGGCCCTCCTGCTCGTCTCGGTCCCCTCCCCCAAAACAACGGGGAGAGGAGCGAGGGCGTGGGGCCAGGCCCCCCTCCCGCTCGCTCGCGCGCTCTCGCAGCTCCGCAGGCAGGCGACCGCTGCGGCCCCGCTCTCCGACACAGCAGGCGCGGCAGAGGAAAAAACGACATCTGGGGGGGGGGCCCAGCGCCAGACGGCATCCTACCCCCAGAACGCGCACGACCGCCAAGTACTCGAGCAACTCCTGGAGCGGTCTCCTGAGCCAGTCGCATCATCAGAGGCACCCCAGGTGGGGTCGGAGTGGATGTGGTCGGAGGAGTGCGCGATCGCCAACGCGTCACCGATGTATCGGCGACGTCGCATGGAGAAGACGGGGCTCCACAATCCTCCGACAACATCTGCTCAGACCTCGTCTGGGAGGCCTAGACACACGCTCTAGAACTCCTGGAAAGGCCCCCTGAGCCAATCGCATCATGGCACCAGTCTTAGGTCGGGCATGCTCCCCTACAGGCGGATGTTGGACGATACATTAAAAAAAGGCTCAAACATACTCGAACAATCGTCCCCCGAGTATTGTTTAGAATTTCTGAATATCCCTCATGGAGAGGGACGTGCCCACCTTAACACCAGTCTCGTCCTGCTCGTGGCAGGTTCGTGGCTCCCCCTTGTGCGCTGCTCCATGGGACATGGGGGGGGGGAATGCGGGGGGGGGGGATGGGGGGGAGGGGGAACATGCACCTTGCGTGCCCCCTCTTGGAGGGCTCGTGTTCCTTCTGGGCGCTGCTGGGGGGGGCGGTGAGTGCGGGCGGGAGGGGAACAAGGGAGAAACGTGCACCCTGCGTGCCCCTCCTGGGCCCCCGGGGGGGGCCCTTTCGTGTCGGGTCGGGCGGGTCCTCCTACAGGTTGATTTGTTGGGCGAGACATGGAAACAATCAAACAACATCAAGAATAGTCAAGCGCGGTATCACAAATAATGCATATAAGAAACAACCCAAAAAAAACAAACTAACTAACCAAAAAGCACGTCCCCCGAGTGTTTCTTTGCTATGTTTGAATATTCCTCCTGTAGAGGGACACGCCCAACGTAACTTTAGTGCCCCCGGGGCGCACAGAAGATTCACCTCTCTTCGCCCCCCCTTTGACGACGATCAGAAACTGGTCTTGCACGATTTGGCATAGCGACCTTACGCGGTGGCTTATGCGGGCCGCCTGCGTGGAGCACACGCGCGACCTTACGCGGGCAGCTTACGCGCCAATGTCGGTGCCGACGACACCCTCTTTTGGAGTCGCTCATTTGCGGCGACCAGCCCGGGGGAAATGTGAGAAGAGGCAGGCCTCCCCAGAAGGCTCGACGTCCCCCGGCCCTCTGAGAAGTCTCCTGGGCCTTCTCTTTGGACGCCCGACATGGGTACGGAAAAAATGGGTACAATGCCCAACAACAAATGTTGTCCCAAACCAACAGCGGCCGCTGTTGGGCAGGCGGCCTTCTGTCTCGAATGGGCACAGGCCGCGGCGGCGCGGACAGCGAGTCCCGTCCAAAAGGGACAGGAACTGCTGTTGAGCATCGTACCCAGTCTTTCCGTGCCCATCTCGCTCGTGCAGATCCTCCCGAAGGCACAGAAAACACCCCAGAAGGTACGAGAGAGGTTCTGAGACGCCCCGCCGCCCTCTGAGAGGGCATCCCCCTCCTCGCTTCCCCCCCCCCTTGAGCGCCAGCTGGCACGAGCCGCCGCTCTGCACCAGCCAGCGCCATCGGCGCTTCCCCGCGCCGCCTCCCCGCTCTCCCCTGCTCCCGTCCCCTCGGCCGCGCTATGGAGGCGCCTCCCGCGGCCACCGCAAGCCGCCGCAGGCCGCCGCGGAAGGCTGCCGCGCGTCGCGCGCAGTACACGAGGGCCGAGGCGCGCGCGTCAGAACACCTTCTGCGCGCCTTCGCAGCCCTCACCAGCCATCGTGGCCGCCAGCCATCGCAGCTGGCCCAGGCGGTGGCCTCGGCGCTGGCGGCGGCGCCAACGCCCTCTGCGCAGCGGGGCGCAGCGGCCTCTCCCTCTCCGGATGCTGTCGCTCCCGGTGCCCATGGAGGCGACGCGGCGGCTGCAGTCCCCTCGTCTCCGCTGGCAGCGGGACCAGCGGCCATGGCTGCCGAGGCGGGCTTTCCAGACCACGGGGTTCTCGGTCAGCGGCTGGCGGCAGCGGGCGACGACGTGGTGGTCCCGGAGGGCGAGTTCACCTCCCCCTCTGCCCCCCCCTCTGCACGGCCTCCTTTTCTTCCCCGCGGCACCCCAATCCCAGGCTTTCCGCCTAGGACGCGGGCGGAGGCTGATCCAGGCCCCAGCCCTGCCACTGCTCTAGGCCTCGCGCAGGGCTTATGCCCGCCACCATTTTTTCGGCAAGTCTCTGTACCTTCACGGCCGTCAAGGCCAGTACCACTCCCAGTACGCCCTGCAGCGCCAGCGCCGCCAGCACCTTCACGGCCGACAGGGCCGGTGCCAGCACCCTCACGCCAGCCAGAAGCAGTGCCAGTGTCAGTGCCGTCGCCAGTGCAGCCATCATGTACGCCACCGGGGATCACAGCAGCGGAGGCGAGGGCCTGCCGCGCGGTGCTGTCAGCCTCGAGTAATCTGTTCGCGGCCCCGCAGCAGTCACAGGCAGACCCAGTGCCAGGGGCGCAGCTGCCGAGCCCCACTGTGCAGAGTCCGCCACGCCACGACGACTCTAGGCCCTTTTTCACCTGTACCCCAGCACGTGCCGCCTTGGATGCAGCGGCCGCAGCGCGGCGCGTTGCCGCATCTGCCGCGCACCGGTCTCCGCCATAGGCGGCTCGAGTCACCAGCCATCCTCCAGAGCTCAGCCAGTTTTTCCCGCCGAAGGCGGAAAGCCAGAGCACGGAGGGGGATGGGCAGGTATGGCAGTTTTTTGCGGGAGGTCTGGCTGCCCTCTCTGGCCTTCGCGCACAGCTACTTTGTACAGCTCGGCCTCTCCTGAAAGACGGGGTGGAGCCCACATGGGAGGGGTCGGCCACGCCCTCCTGAAAGACGGGGTCGAGCCCACATGGGAGGGTGTGGTGCCAGCGCCAACTGGCTTCGGACCTTTTTCGCGGGCCGGCAAGGCAGCAATCTCTGGCACTTGCGAACAGCTACTCTGTACAGCACCAGGCCCCTCCTGAAAGACGGGGTCGAGCCCACATGGGAGGGGTCGCCCGGGCCCTCCTGAAAGACGGGGTCGAGCCCACATGGGAGGGCTCGGCGCTGGCGTTTTGAAGGCCAGCAAGCAGCCCTGGCTTCTTCCTACCCAGCGCGGCCTCGTGGCACACCTTCCACTGCTTACTTGTATAGCCCCAGGCCTCTCCTGAAAGACGGGGTCGAGCCCACATGGGAGGGGCCTGCCGTGCCCTCCTGAAAGACGGGGTCGAGCCCACATGGGAGGGCGCGGCACTCGCGCACGGCACGCAAGCACACAGGCCCTGGCTTTTTCACCGCAGCGCGGCCTCACGGGGAACCCCCGCCCTTCTCCAGTCCAGCACTCCTCCCCTGGAGGTTTGGACAGCCGCACGGCAGCCTGGCCAATTTGGCCCTCCTTCCAGCTCTTCCCTCTCCTTCAGCCGACCGCAACCTGGACGGCACACCTAGGCAGGTTTCTCCTTTTTCCAACCTTGTACTGCTCTTTGCCTCGAGGGCTGCCCTGCTATGGGCAACGAAGCAGGGCTCCGCTGATGTCTCTCTTCGCACGGAGCTGCAAACTCCTCCTCTCTCTTATAAGATTCCTCTCTTCCCCCAATCTATGATTCCTCTCTTCCCCTCCCGCAGCGCCAATACCTCTCTCCCGACAGTTTTCGGGACGAGAGCGGAAGCAGCTCAGCGTCCATGCTCTCGGGCTTCTCGTGTGCAGCCTGTGCCAGTCCTGTTGGCCGCTGCGCTCAAGCTACTTGCAACGAGCTTAGTACAGTCAAAGACAGTCCCCCCCCTTGGGCGCGCCGCCGAGTCCAGCTTTCGGGCCCTGGCTCGGGCCCCTGGGCGCCCAGGTCGGGACGACCCGGGCATCCGCCGACGCGCTCTCGGCGAGGCGCAGCCGCTGCAACGCATCCCGAGGCCGACCACCCGCCAGGAAGCTGCGCTCGCCGCCGGCCTGGGGCCTCCGAGGTCACTCGCAGGGCCGCCGCCCTCTCACCTTCCCCCCCAGGCCCGACCCCACGCCGGAGGAGGAGGAGGAGGGGGAGGGGGAGGAGGACAAGCTAGGTGCGCTCGCGTCATATCTGACGTCCTACCCCTCCCTCCCATCCCTTACCATGGCGCTGATTTTCTCTATCCGCGGACGCGTGTCGTAGCGGACCTGTGGCTCCGCGCGCGCGTGCGTAGTGGGTGGTGGTGCACGTGCGTGCGTGCGTGCGTGTGTGCGTGGTTGTCGGTGGTGGTGGTGGTGGTGGTGGTGGTGGTGGTGGTGGTGGTGGTGGTGGTGGTGGTGGTGGTGGTGGTGGTGGTGGTGGTGGTGGTGGTGGTGGTGGTGGTGGTGGTGGTGGTGGTGGTGGTGGTGGTGGTGGTGGTGGTGGTGGTGGTGGTGGTGGTAGGTGGTGGTGGTGGTGGTGGTGGTGGTGGTGGTGATGGTGGTGGTGGTGGTGCTGGTGGTGGTGTGGTGGTGGTCTGGTGGTGCTGGTGCTTGTGGTGGTGGTGGTTGTGGTGGTGGTGGTGGTGGTGGTGGTGGTGGTGGTGGTGGTGGTGGTGTGGTGGTGGTGGTGGTGGTGGTGGTGGCGGTGCGGCGCGGTGGTGGCGGGCGGATGGGCGCGCGAGAAAAAGGCCCGCGCTGGGGCGAGAACGCCATCCTGAACGACGGAGGCCAAACACCGATCCGAAAATGAGGCCCACGCTGCAGCGGGAGCACGATTCGGAACGATTCGGGAGCAGAAATGAGGCCGGCGCCTCAACGAGAGCAGCACTTTGGGAAAAAATGACGCCGGCGCCTCAGCGAGAGTCGTTTCCCGGGGTTTCCCGGGCATCCTGTGTGTAAAAAAACAGTACGCGGAGGGTGCGCGACCATCACCCGGACGCCATCAGGGGAAGAGGGAGAGTATTTTCATATCGAGTAATTGTGGAGGAGGATGCTGCGCCACCCGCTGCCGAGTAAAGAGGAGGATGAGGACGAGGACGAGGAGGAGGAGGAGGAGGAGGAGGAGGAGAAGGAGGGCTCGCCGCCGGATGGCGCCACGCCCGACCCCCGGGAGGCCACCGGAGCCCGAGAGGAGGGGCCGCCTGCAGCGGCGGCCGGCGGCGCACTCCTGCGGCCGCCGCCCGCGGGCGCGCTGGAGCATGCCTGCGGCGACTGGAGCGGCGAGCGGGGAGGGGGAGGGAGGGGGAAGAGGAGGAGGAGGAGGAGGCGGAGGAGGAGGATCACCCCCTTCGCCTTCTTCGGCCTCCCACCCTCCCAGACCCCTCGACCCTCGACTTCGGCTGCCGCGCTCCGCCTCAGCCCCCTCCACCTCCCCTCTCCGCCTCGTCCCCAGGCCCCCTCTTGCCCCTCTCCCCCTCCCTCGTCCTCGGGACGCCTCGGAACACACGGGCCTGCCCCTCCATCCCTCCCCCCCCTCCTCGTCCCTTGGCATCGATCAGACGGGCTTGTCTGATTCTCGGCGCGGGCCCTCGAGGAGCATCCTCCATCATCGAGCCCCCTTAAAAGAACTCGCGCGAAACCGAACATGCACGGGAAAGGTCCCCCGCCGCACGCCTCCTCCGCCTCCGCTTCCGCCTCCTCCTCCGCCTCCGCCGCCGCCGCCGCCGCCTCCTCCTCCTCCTCCTCCGTCTGGCGCACGTGAACATGGATTGCGGATCCGTGGATCTGGCGCGTGGGCGCCACATCCACGGGTCGGGGAAAGTACCCCCCGAAACTCGATGCCAATCCCGCCTGATTTGGCGACGGAACGCGCCGAGTCTGCACGGAAGCGGAACCAATCGCTAATCCACGCGCTCTCCTCCGATCTTCCCCTGTCTCTCCTCCTCCTCCTCCTCCTCCTCCTCCTCCTCCTCCTCCTCCTCCTCCTCCTCCTCCTCCTCTTCCTCCGTCTCCTCTTCCTCCTCCATTCCTTCTCCTCAGAGATAACTCTTCTCTGTCGCACCCCGAGGCCAGTTGTTAGGGCGGGCCGGTTTCGCCTGAGACTTCCTCATCATGTATGACTCTGAAGTTCAAAAAGTGACACCAGCTTCACAAATGGTGGGCGGGTCGCTTTCAAAATGTGGCTCTCGTCTTAGCTCCGCGCAAATTCGTCTTAATCAAGTGCAAGAGCTTCACGGATTGAGGGCGGGTCGTTTTCGAAATGTGGCTCTCGCCTTAGCGCCGCGCACATTCGTGTTAAACATCTGTAAGAGCTTCACGGATTGAGGGCGGTTGGTTTTCGAAATGTGGCTCTCGCCTTAGCGCTGCGCACACTC